TTGGAAATACATAAAGAACTCATAACTCAATAATGAAACAGACAAATAACCTAGGTTTTAAACAGGCAAAGGATCTGAACAAACATCTATTCAAAGTAGAGAAACACATGGCCAATAAGTACATAAAAAGATGTTCCACACCTTTAGTCATCAGGAAAATGCAAAATCAGAGCTTCAGTGAGGTACACTTCAAACCAGCAGAATAGCTGTGATCAAAATGGCTACTCGGAAGAAACTGGAACCCTTATAGGCTGCTAAAAAGAATGGAGAACAATCTGATAATTTCTCAACTGGCAAATAAAGAGTTGCCATACGACTTAGCAACTTTACTCAAAGATATAAACCTAGGAGAAAGGAAAACATATGTCCATGAAAAAACTAGTGCCTAATAGCATTATTTACAATCATCAAAAATGGAAAACTCAAATGTTCATGATTTAAAGAATGAAAACACAATTTCAGGGGTGCACGCCTGCAATTATTTTACTTAGTATGATGTCTTCAAGGTTCATCTATTTTGTAACCTGTGTCAGGAATTCTTTTTTTAAAGATTGAATAGTTTTCATTGTATTTTCTTAAAGAAATTGAAACATTTTAATGAAGTAGAACAAAAAATATTAGAGATTTTTCATAATAAGACCAAACATTATTTCACACAACTGTATGTTATTCCCCAAATATTTACCATTTTTCCTCATTTTTTAAAAAATTAATTTTATGGGTATAATTTAGATAGAATGATCAATTCATATAGGGAATCTGTACCTATACATGATATAGCTTGATTCCCCTTTTTTCCTATTCCTCTCCTGTTACTTTGACCTCTCTTTGCCTCTTTATTTATAAAAATTGTTTTCATTTTTTCCTTTTATTTTTCTTTTCTCTTCTTTCCTTTCCCCCCTTCCCTTTTTTGTCTTCACATTTGAACATTTTCTATTTTACAATATCTATATTTTTGTCCTTATTTACACATTTTGTTTCTCATATCAGAGAAGCAAGGCAATATTAAACATTTGTGTCCAATTTATTCTAAGTGGAATAAAGACAGTCTAGTCTAAAAGCGCATCCATTTACCTAGAAATGTCTCGTTTATCCTTCTTTATAGCTGAGTAGTACCTCATTATATACAAAAACTACATCTTCTTTATTCATTCATCAGTTGATGGGCATTTGGGCTGTTTCCAAGATTTAGCTACTATAAAGTAGGCTGTTACAAACATGGGAGTGCATATATCACTGTGGTATGGTACTTTTAATTCTTTTGTGAAGATACCAAAAAGTACAATAGCTAGGTCAAATGGAACCTCTAATTTTAGTTTTTTAAGGAATCTCCACACTGATTTCCAAGGTGGTTGCACCAGTCTATACTCCCACCAACAGCGGAGAAGGGTTCCTTTTCCTCCACACCCTCGTATAGCATTTGTTATTGGTTGATTTCTTGATAATAGCCATGCTTTCTGGAATAATATAGAATTCCAATGTTGTTTTAATTTGCATCTCTTGAACAATCAGTGATGTCGAACATTTTTTAATGTATGTATCTGCTGTTTCTGTTTCTTTATCTGAGAAGTGTCTATTCATTTCAGATGCTCATTTTTGGATTAAGTCTTTAAATTTGGGAGGTCTGGTTTTGTTTTTTAGTTCTTTATATATTCTAGATATTAGTCCTTCGTCTAAGGAACAGATGAAGCAAAATTTTTTTCTCACTCTGTGGGTTGTCTCTTCACTCTGTTGGCTGTTTCGTTTGCTGTGCAAAAGTTTTAAATATGGTGATATTCCAGTTGTGGATTCTTTGTGATAATTCCTGTGGGATCAGGGTTTTATGTCTACAAGAGTTCTACCTATTCTACCTTCTAGCAGATTTAGTGTTTCTGTTTTTAGTATTTACACCTTTATTCCATTTCAGTTTTCACTTAGTGCATGGTAAGAGATATGAGTCTATTTTTTAATGTTTGACATTTGGAAAGCCAATTTTCCAGTACCATTTGCCTCTTTATCAAAGATAAAGTGGCTAAGTATGTTTGGAGTTGTTTCTCCATCTTCTAATCTGTTCTATTGATTCTTTCCTTTTTTTGGGAGGGGGCAGGACCATGCTGTTTTCATCACAGTAGTTCTGTAATATAATTTCAAGTCAGGGATTGTGATGTCTCCCTGTCTTGCCTTTGCTGCTCTTTTGTTATTTCAGGTCTCTTCTGATTCCAAATAAACTTTTGGTTTTCTCTAATTCTGTGGGGCATTTTGATTGGGATTGCACTAAATCTTACAGCTTTAGAAATATGGCTGCTTTCACTATACTAATTCTTCCTACACAAGGACAAGAGATATCTTTCCACTTTTTAATCTTTTTCAGAGTACTATAATTTTCAATGTAAAGGTATTTTACCACCTTCATTAGATTAATTAAGTCTTTCTTTCTTTCTTTCTTTCTTTCTTTCTTTCTGTTAGTGTAAAAGATGTGGTTTCCTATTTTGGCTTATGTTTAGGTCTCCCTGCAAAGCCTCATGCAGTCATGGATGGGGCTTCTTCAGAGGAAGGTTACAAGATCACACTCTGGAGTGAGACCTAGGGTCCAGAAATCTACATTTCAATGGCTCCTTAGTATTCTATGAGTGGCCTCTGCTTGAGGAACACAGGACTCAGGTTTCCAGATTACAACAGTAATCACTTGGAATTCAATACAATTAATTCATTACAGTTAAGTTGCAAAACAAGATAGGTAAGAAAACATTTGCATGCAACTGATGTGGCATCCACAAGAGAATTCAAAGGGGCAGAAGCCTTCCTGATGGACTAACAATGAGTGAGCCATGTGCAGCAGTGCAGGTGTGAGAAAGATGAGACAGGTTGGTGCCACACCTGCACTCTACACCTCTATTTCTACTTCCTTCAGTGGTGTATGTTCACAAGTCCTCCTCCATCCAAACGGTACCCTTCCTTCAAAACTAACTCAAGTTCCACTTCCTCCAGACAGTCTTCCCTAACTCCTCCAGTCCCCGATGCCTCTCTTCTCAGACAATTTTACAGGTACTTCTCATCTTTTATGTTCATTTTGTTTCCCAAAAAGACTCCAACCCCTTGAGCACTAAGACTACATCACCTTCTCCTTCTTTACATCCAAGACTGTTTTCCAGAATCAGTACATACAAATTGTGCTTACTTGGTCAGACTAAGCTGAGTCTCTAAAACTAGGCCTTAAAGTGTTATCAATGAAATTTGGAGGGTCAGAGTCTCCAAGAATGGATAGCAGCTGGTACACCGGCTGGTTCCAGGCAGCCAGTCCCTCCAGCCAAGACCAGACAGAACTTCAAAGAGTCAGCAAGCAGTGGTGCAGTTTGCATTTGCCCTGGTACTGATACCTCCCCTGTTGGCCAGGCTGGAGACCCAGCAGCCCTAGTAGCCTCAGAAAGAAAAAGGTGGTAGGAGCCCAGAACTACTTAACAGGGAAAAACAGCAAGACAGAAGCAGTCCACATAGGCCAGAAGAGCTGCAGTGGGGCTGGTTCTGAGACATGCACAAGATCATGTCCAGGACAACAATCACACCAAAAAAAAAAAAAAAACAGAAACAAAAACAAACAAACAAAGGCAGGTCCAATAAGATCCAACAAACCAGGAGACTCTGAAAATGTCTTTTAAAGCCACTTACAACTCACAGAGCACATGAGCTGCCATTGAGCAAGAAAGCAGTCTCTCTGGGAAGGTCAAGAGCAGTAACAGCCTGGAAACAGATGTATGGGACAAGGGGCTTCACCTTTCCTGGCTCTGGGAGGCTTACAAAGAGGGGAAACAACTCAGTTGCTTAGCTTTCCAACTGTGGGCAGGACCACCACTCTGGCCTCCCACTTTCCAGGGCAGGCCAGACTAGGAGAACCCACAACTGAAATACACACCAAAGGATGAATAAAGAACAACTGTGTCCTATTATTTGGATGTTTCAAAAAGTAAATGAGATGATTACACAGCTGGAGAGATATTTTCTTTCCTATAATGATGGGGGAAGATGGTTCAGATGGGGAGATGGCAGCAAAGAACCACCTCCTCCAAAGAGTGTGGGGGCTGCTCTATCTACCAAAGGCTCTGGTTTACAGACATCCTAAGTCCCCCAGCCCAGCAGAGGGCTGCCAGTCACCCGCAGTGTTTCCCCCAAGCCAGCAGAGTCTCCGGAGGTGGCTGGCATTTCAGTACAGACTGCATTTCAGAGACTGAGGCTGTGCTGATCCTCTGAGTGAAACCTACGGCTGCCCTTCCTCTTCTCACAGTTTGCCAATAGACGGGGGTTAGGGAGGAGTCCAACTTTTTCACAGCTCTGATCTTTACGTTAAAGATGAGAAAGAGCCATTTTCTTCAGAAGGGACCAGACTGTGGGTTCACAGACCCAGAGCCAATGGGAGTATTAAGAATTCACTATACCAATGCATCGTCACAGCCCACTACCACCCACACCCTGCCCCTGCTCTAAATGTTTCTCTTCAAGGGCTCCACAAAAATGTAGTAGCCAGGGATGGGGATTTAGCTCAGCAGCATAAGCATTTGCCTGGTAAGCGTGAGGGCGTGAGTTCAATCTCTGGTACCAAAAAAAGAGAAAAAAATGTAGTACCCGCCAGGTTTAAAAACAAAACAAATAATGTACCCAATTTTGAGTCTTTAGGTCCCAACCAAATAGCCTCGGAATTACAGGTTTGGGGGAACACAAATCGGATCCCTGCCGCCAGCTCATGGCATTTAAATAAATTCGTCTGCTTAGCTTCTTAGAATTCCAAACTGCTCTCAATTTTTCAGAGCAGAACAAAGTTGTCGGGGGCCCCCAGCCGAAGATGAGCAGGCACGCTCCTGCTGGGGACAGCAGACATGCCAGTCGTAGCTCCAGGACCCAAACCTGACGCGGGGAGCTTGGGACTAAGCGCAGATTCCACGGCCACTAGCCTCTGGGGACTCTGCGGCTGCGGTCCCCAGAAGACTCGCCCGTGGGCTCCGCACATTCCCTCCCCCGGACTTTCTTACCTCTTGATGTAGTTTTTGCCATACAGGATCTGTTGCAGCAAGGTCACCAACGCAAAGGCGCAGATGAAGATGAAGAGCAAAGTTCGGTTCCCCAGCAGATCCCGGTTGGCGGAGGGGTCTGCGTAGCCCATGCTGGCGGTTGGGCGCCGAGGGCGCAGGGTGGGAGGCGGCCCAGCTATCACGCGCGGGGTTCCTGGGCCCCGGGGGGCGCGCGGCCAACGAGGCGAGCCACGGCGCGGTCACGCTAGCGGAGGACTTCACGGGCCAAAGTTTCAGGCTGCTGTAGTCAGTACAGGGGGCATTGGATCGTCTGTGGAGCCGCGGCGGCGGCCGGACAGGGACGACCACGGAATCACCAGCGGCCCTCAGGCCTTCTAGCCGCTATCTTTACCTCCGAGCGCCCGTGCCAGGCAGCAGCCTATTTCCCCGGGAGGGGCGACGGCAGGTGCCCCATCCGGGCGGCCCCTCCTCGCCAAGGTGGCAGCCAATCGGGAGCTGGCCAGGCGGGGTCCGCCCGTGCGCTCGAGCGCGTACCGCCCCCTCCTGCCCGGCTCCGGAACGCCGGCGCCCCGTGCTCGCTCTGGGCTTGTCTGGAGTGGGCCACGTCTAACCCCGGCCCGCAGCGAAGGAGCGCGAAGGTTGGCCCTAGTTCTGCGGATGGGAGGGTGGTGGGTAACACCCCGGACGGTCAGAAATAACGGCACAAGCCGGCGGTGGAGAGGGGGAGGGTGGAGCGGAAAACGCAAGATTTGAATCTTGGGATGAAAAAGAGGGTAAGAAGGAAAAGCCGCGGCTGCGGAGCTGGATTTGCTGGGCAGGAACATTTGCATGCGCCTTGCCGGACACTGAGTCAGCGCCGCGGTCGCGTCCTCGCGCTCTCTTAGAGATTTCTCCGGAGAAAGCGCAGCAAGGTCAACCGGGCAGCCCGTCAAGGACAGCGCGTGCAGCTCCTGCATGCTAATGGCCGGCCGGGCTGCCTGCCTGCGCCCGGCGCACAACTCCCGCAAGGCAGAAATTCAGGGACAGCAGGCCCCCATCAACCCCTGTTCCCCCACCACACCCCCATCCTCGGTAAAGCTTGCAACGGTTTGTCCAAGGTTCTGTTGTCACCAAGACACTGGGACCTTGTCTCATCCTTGGAACTGTAGCTGACTGCCTTCAGGTACCATGGTCCCCAAAAGCTTTATTTAGTAAGTCACTAGGTTCAGAGGCACACTGTACTTTAGAGTGTATGTCAGGGAAAATAATCACAGAAATGCAGTGCGAATGCCCTGTCTCTGCGGAAATAGTCGCCCTGAAAAATGCCACTGCAACCCCCACCCCTGCCTCACACCTTGGGAGACAGTCCTGCTATCCTGACACTGAAGTCTCCTAGTGCGGTGAGTCTTGTACCCGCGGGCAGCCCCAGCTGTATGATTCCAGGGGACCCCTTCACAGGACCTGCCAGACTTGAGGGTAGATTCTAGAGGAAGGCCAGGAATTCTACTGGGAACTTGACCAAAATGTAAATTTTAGCAAGAGAAAGAAATTTGGTGGGAAGTAACCAGGTGCCAGTAACTTCAACTCTGTAGTTTCTTTGAACTGGAAAAAACCAAAGAATGTACTGGTAAGTTGTCAAAATTAGAGTTCTACCAATAATTTGGAATTTGTGTTAATTCACAAGGCAGAAGTGTACCATGCACTATTTATGAAGAGTTCGTGTGTTCATCCAGGAGGTCACAGATAGGCTCTTTAGCTAATTAAAGCAATAACAGACAATTGGAAGGTTCATCATTATAACTCCTGCATTCATTTGACGTCTCACACTGTCGTCACACATGTTAGTGAATTTTCTTCTCCCAGCCTCTCTAACCTACATGACAGCTGTATGGACCAAAGCACTAGCTGCCCAAAGCAGCTCACCTGGCAAGAAGTCCCTGGAGTCTGAAATGCAGCTTTGTCCCACACATACAGGCATGTAGTACAGTCCTGCTCATTGGGAATGCCTGTTCAGTTGTGCTCCACCCTGACCCATCACTGGCTTACTGCTATATTCTTGCTGCCTTCAAAGTTTGGAACAGGAGGCCCTGTGTATCACTGTGCACTGGACAAGTTATGTAGCCTGCCAAGTTGACAGAATGCTAATTTTTACCTCCACTAGCTAGCTCTCAAATTTAGACTTCATAAGGTTCTTTTGGCTTCACTCCAGACAAGAAATGCTTCTTTCCTTTCTATTCCTGCTTATCTGCAACTCGACTCCCCACAGGGTCCCACTCTCAGTGTTGTCTTTGGATGCATGCTTCCTTATAAAAACAAATCTGCTTTAAAGTAATAAATTATCCTAAAACCTTTTTAACTGCAGTGTAATACATTTATGAAAAAGGCTATAAACCATAAATGTACATCTGATTGAATTTTCACAAACTGAGCACACCCATTGGACCAGCTCACAGATCAAGAAACAAAAGCAAGCTGATGTGGGTGGTGGTACACACCTGTAATCCCAAGTACTTGAGAAGCTAAAGCAGAAAGATTACAAGTTTGAGGCTAGCCTATATAACTTAGCAAGACCTTGTCTGAAAATATTTAAAAAGGTTTGAGGATATAGTTCAATGGTAAAGAGCTAGTCCAGTGGAGATTGGGTTCAATCTCCACTATTGCAAAAAGAAACAAAAGGTGCTCCCTTCCAGTTACTACATACTGAGGAATAACAACTGTTCTGATTTCCAGTGCCAAAGAACACTGTACTTCCTGTTCTAGTATTTTTTATAAATGGAATCCTCTTATGTCATATTCTTTGGAATCATGTCATATTCTTTGATGTCTGTCTTCTTTGGCTGAATGTTTGGTTGTGAGATTCATCCATGTCATGTTGTATGGACACACTTCTAGGATGACCCCCTAGGATGAGACAGATTCCTTACTGTCTCCTGCACCCATACTGTTATCCAGTATATCAACTGAAAATTAATCTAGATGCTGCTCTGCAAGGCTTTCATAAGTGTCATTAGGCATAAATGAGTTGGTGTTCAAATCAGAAGATTGCTCTCCACATCCTGATTACATGGGATCTTCCTAGTAGAAGACAGCTGAAGCACAAGAAGGGAAAATAAAAGAGTTCATCACTGTTGGCTTTAAAGAGAAGATCCCTTGGCAAAGGATGCAGATGGTCTCCCAAAGCTGAGCTGGGCTCCTGCCTGACAGCAAGCAAGGAAATGGGGAACCTCAGTCCTCCAGTCACACACAAAAAAAGACCCTGAATTCCTCTGACAAACTGAACGAGCTTCTAGGAGGGTCCTAAGTGCCAACTGCACATACCTTAATTTCAGTTGTTGGGACCCCTCACCACAGATACCAGCTCCACTGGCCCCAGATTTATGACCTATACATCTGGCAGCTCATAATTGTGTAACATTTAGGCTGCTAAATCGGTAATCATTTGTTGCACATCAATGTGATTTGATCTTAGAGCTGTGTAGTATGACCTTGTATGACTATAGCATAACATATCCGTCCCACTGTTAACAGACATCTAGGTAGCTGCTACCATGAACCTCACAGTGCATGTTTTTGGTGAACACATGCGTAGCTATCTACTGGGCATCTGCACTTGGAAGTAAAATTGCTGAGTCAAACAGTAAACATATGTTCAGCTTTAGAACCAAATTTCTAGAGGGATATTCAGACTCTCCAAGACTAATAATAATCCAGTTGACACTGCCTTTAATTGGCTAACTCAATAGTAAAAAGCTCACCAAGCCAAAGCCCAAATAATTAAGGAATAGTAATAGCCCCAAAGATACTTACTCTCCATAGGGGAGGCACTTATTCTCTCTCCTCAAATTAGCAGGGAATAAGATTGATGGTAACGTTAGGCACAGTTGGAACTTTGCAGCAACACTCTGTAGAAGATGTATTTTAATCACATGATACTCTGAAAATGACCAGTGTCTCTCTGCTGAAGTGGCTCTTTGATCCTCATTGCATTTTAAATCTCACTTCAGATCAAGTCAGAATATATTACACACACACACACACACACACACACACCATTAGCTTTTACAACATGTATAGTGGAGGTTGTAAAATGTGATGTCTGAAGTTCTTTCTCTAGTTATCACTATGGAGGCAGTTTCCACTTTCAGCCAATTTTATATTCTGATTATAGAACTGCAGCAAACACTCAAAAGGACTTGCAACAAAAGAGTAAACACATGGATAAGTGATCATGATGCCAGATTCAGTGAACACCATTTTTATATTGTAATTGCCAAGAACAGGGACAGCTGCATTATTGTTTAAAACATACACTCACACACAATTAAGCCAAGAATAAATGTCAACATTGGCACAGTCTGCTAAATTACTGATAGCTGATAGGCATTATTCATGCTGTGAGCACCATCTCCAATATAAAATAGAAAGACTAAAAAAAAAAAAAAAGACTTAGAGGCTTCTATGGGTTTAAAAAAGCCAGCTTTTATTTCATATAGTACAAGTGCAACCTGCCAGATTACATAAGTGACATTCCACCCATGTGTTCAAGGAGTTTGTGATAAGTACATGCTGTTCTTGTGCCTCTTTACATTTATGTTAGCAAGTCAGGCCTCAAGAAGCTGACTGCTGCTAGCTTTGGGACATTTTGTCTGTGGTAAGAGCATCTTGCTGCCAGGTGAGCAGAAATGCTCCAGTTACAGCCTTGTAGTTCAGAGATCTGGAATCTGCCACTGCACGGTTAACTGCAGGCATTAAACTTTACTGCATCAATTTTGTTTTTAATAACATTATTATATAATAGCACTACAACTTAAGTTCCTTGATGAAATAAGAGTTGTGTTCTGCATAATTTATGATAAACCATTTATAAATCTTAAACATGAATCTGAAGTCACTTTTGGGCTTCACATTTCCAACCTGAGAAGCACCCTCCTTCTATCCTAGGACCACCTCCCCAGTATTTCTCTCTTATATTTGTTGCAATTTATCTCATTTATTTCAAAGGGCAGAGACATTATTATTAACCCATAAACCAGCCAATACATCAGAGTGCACAAAGGTTCTGTTCTACTTTGACTATATTCTCGCAGACTGCCAGGAATAGCATCACTGTTTGTAATAACATCTCTCAGACAACATTTAGGTGGTGTGATGGTTAAATGAACCCTGAATTTTCTTTGGTTACCTTAAAGACTGTGCTATAAAGGAGAAACAGAAAGATCAGGTTCGGATGGTTGCTAGCAGTAATGACAAAGAGTACTGATGAATTTAGGTAAAAATATATTTTTCATTTCTATGCCAATACAGGGTCCCAATGCATGTTTTGTTAGTGATTTGTGTAACAATGAAACTTTGCAAAAGATGCTCTTTAAATATATCTGCTTAACAATACTTAAAGTCAACATTTAAAATAAATGTTCTTTAGTATCTGAGGAGAGAAAAAGGACAGGCGT